GGGGGGGGGATGGGGGAGCTCCAGAGGGCCCTTCCAGCCCTCACCAGTCTGGGATGCTGGGATTTATAGGAAACACAAGGCGGCAGCAATGGCAGTGAAGTTGCGGAAAGCTGCGCTTGACGATGCTGCTGTCTGTGCCCAGTTTGCCCCGTGCCTCGCTGGAATCATAGAACTGAATCACAGAATTGCTGAGGCTGGAAAGGACCTTAAAGATCATCAAGTCCAAAGCTTGAAAAGCTCACCGTGCTGGAAAGCTCCTACAGCCTGGCCTAAGAGAGTATAAATCATTGCTGCGCTATCTATCTCCGACAACGCTTTCAAGCAAATGGTGGCAGCTGCCTTTGCACAGCCCGGCATCTCCGTCTGTCGCTGGAGACACCACCGGCCCCCTCCTCCGGCACCAGCCGTGTCCATCCCGCGGACAGGGGCTTTCACGGTCCTAACGGCAAAGCTAAGCCATTTTTCCTGACAAGCATTAAGAGATTGCACACCTGCTGTTAAGAGCTCTCCCACTTCATTTGCTAATGTTAAAGCAAAGACCCGAAGAAGCGTTACCTCTGCCCGCAGCTCCTCCCAGGCTGGGCTCCAGCTCCTCCCGGGGCACCCACTCCTCCTGGCACCCCGGCGGTAACGAGGTGGGTCCATCAGGAGCCAAAGCCAAGTTCAAGGAGCAAACGGCTCCCGTTTGCTCTCTCTTGGCCACATGCACATCCGTCTCTCTCATCCATGGCGTGCGATGCACCCGAGCAGCTGCACCTGGAGCAGTTTATAGTATTATAGTGCTCCAGCCCCGCAAACACCGTTCCCTCCTGCCTCCTCCATGTCTCCCTTGGTTAAAGGAAATCCATTGGATTAAGAGGAATCAAAAACGCCCAAATGAATTGACTTTCAGCAGGATTTTTGGGAAGCACTGCTGTTACTGCTGCCTATCGACAGCGGGGGGAAATGTCCCAGCTTTTCAAAACTGATCAAAATCTCTTTAAAAATTATCAAACCTTTCAATTGCCCTGAGATCCAGATCTGAACTTTGATGGCAGTTACCACCATCCTCTGTTTCCAGAATTCAGCACCCGTGCCCCATTAAACTCCATTAAAAGGGATAATTAGCAGGAGACTAACAGTAATTTAGCCAGTTCATTTATCAGAAAGGATAAAGCCAACCTGAAACACGTTAATGTAACGGTCTTAAAACTCGTATTCTGTGCTGTTGTGCAACAAACGTATCGCTAGTGGAAGGGACGCGGACCACTGCGTTAATCAGGATTGCTGGGGTGTAAATAATGTTTTGCTTCATAAAGTCTGGGTAGGACGAACAAATTATTTTGCTCTCATGCTACAGCTGAATTAAGAGCTCAAATGCATAAAAGGGTGTATCTAAGAATCGATAGTGGATCACCGAAGCATTTAATCACTGTTTTACTAATCTCCCCGCACTATCTGAACTCAAACTGACTCCTCACACTACAATCAATGGCGCTAATATACTCATTAACGACGGCTCTTTCGGAGGAATGAAACCATCAGACTTTGAAAAACCAACTGGGGGCAGAGGAGCTGTGAAGAGCACATGGGCTCGTGCTCCGAGGCTTCCCGGGGGAGCAAGAAACTCCCTAAAAATGCCCTTACAGGGATTTCCACGGCAATCTTCTACCGAGGGTAAGCGGCTGCGCCTACACGTGTAACAGCACATCCCCGCGAGGGGACAGCTGATGCGGGGACTGAACCAAGGTCCATGGATCTACAGCCACGGTCCTTTCTGGGGTGAGGCTCCAGACCTGGCGTCAACACTCAGCGCTGCCCACACCGGGGATTTCTCCATGGGCAAAGTGTCTTTGTCTCCCTGTTCTGGTCCTGCTACCTCGCATCGCTCTGTATCTCATGAGGCAGACGTTCCCCATCAGTTCGGGGGCTATGCAAGACCTTTTGGGGCAGCTGTTGCCTCTTCATCCCGCACAGCCTCTTATTTATACTCCTCACCAGCAGTTGAAGAGTTTGGCGCATCCTCCTGCCAGGCTTCCCCGCATGACTATCTCAGCTCTGACCTGCACATCTGACACTCCTGTCCCGAGACTCATTTCTCCTAAGTCTGTCAGTTCGGCTGCGATAGCTTCTGCTCGGCATCTACAGGCTCCAGACAGTCTCTCCCCAAAGGATTTTCTGAAAGACATTGAATTTCTGACCAGGGTTTCGTCAGGCTGCCTGGAAAAGGATGTTGCTCAAAACTACTCAAAGATAGCATTTTCTTATTTTTTTATGCAATTATTGAACAAATATCAGAATGCAAAATTGCCCCTGGGATTAGAAAATGGAATTAAATCTTCCAACAAACATGAGAAAATGGATACCGACGTCTCTATTAGCAACAAAATGTTTCATGCTTAGAAACCGGTAATCTAACACCCCTCCGGGGAATTCAGAATGGTGAGAAAAAATGGTCCAAGACAGCATTAGAAAGAAAACACATACGTTCAAGTGAGACACAAACTGGGTGTGGGGTGGGGAGGAGGGCGTCCTTCTGTCGGTCCCACCTTGGTGCCTTCATGGGCAGTTCAGGAGGTGGAAAGCAATGGCCCAGACCCTCTGTGGCTCCCAGCCATGCTGAGCCTGGCATAATCGAGCACAACAGGTCCACCCCATGCTGGGGGTATCCTCCAAGCCGCTGGTGTGGTCACTAAGCTGTATTGACCCCTGCAAGCAGCAAGAAGGGCAGAGCTGGGACACGTGGTGTGGTTGAGCTTCTCCCACAAGCACCAAGCTCCAGCCTGTCTTGGAGGGCTCACAGATGGTGTGGTTCAGACCAGCTCTTCAGCAGCACTGGTTTACACCAGCTGGGCAAACTGGTGGCCGCACACCACACACAACACAATGACAAAACACCCCCATTTCGCCCAAGCAATACAAGAACTGTCCCAACGCACACAGGAACGTCTCTGTCACAGACATGGCTTAGTGGTGGACTTGGTAATGTTAGGTTAACGGTTGGTCTCGATGATCTTAAGGTTCTTTTCCAACCTAAATGATTCTATGATTCTGTGATCTCCAGCGTGCTGCTTTCCTACCGGACATGGGATTTTCCCTGGGCTCCCTTCTCAAGCCACAACCTGGGAAACAACCAACTCCAGCTGTAACAGCCCAAGAGCTGAAAACAGCATCATCAACCAAGTTACATCACACAGTCCATAAAAAGGAGCACCATTCGGCATGGGGTGAAGTACGGACCTGCAGCCACACCTGGGGGCAGTTATGGTTGAGCAGAAGGGAAAAGTTGGCACTGGAAGTTTGGTGTGTCCCCAGCTTTGTCGTCTTGTAACACCAACGTTGTCATCTTAAGAAGGAACCACCTGGCCAAAATTCCCCTTTGAATTTACTGTCCAGAAGAATCAACAAATGACATCTCGGTTGCAGAAGTCATTTGCGCAGCTCCTATGCTGGATTTTAATCATGGTGCAATTCTCAAAGATTATATACAACCCAAAAGCACTCATACGCAACCTACAAGATGCATTCCCTTCCCCTCCTCCTCCCGAGAGCACTGTTTGTTTAGAATGGCTTAGTCCATTCTCTTCTTCTATTCTGCACGTAATGGCTTTTGAACCTCAGAGAGGGCAGAAAACCCTGTTGCTTCCCCATGCAGTTAAATACTATGCAGCCACATTACTGAAGAACACCTACAAAATAGGCCGCTAAAATAAACTCCTGTTTGAACTCTTCCTGTGATATTTTTCCGAGAGCTCTGAACACGTTGCCCTTCTTCCCACACAGCACTGAAGCACCTACTTCACTTTGACCAGGTAAACACTCTTCCTGGAGTCAAAAGGACTAATCATGTGCTTAAAATTATGTATTTGCCTGAAGTACCTAGTTGAATCCAAGCTTTTATATTTAAAAGTTGCACAGTATAAATTGGAAACATTATTCCTGGGTGAACCTTATACACACGTTGGCAGATATATTCCAAAATTATCTAAGAAATGAAACTATTTATTGTTAATAGAACATGTCCAATTCCAGCAGACCGCTTTGAAAATCTAAAATAAAAAATGTGCACAATATACTATATATGAATATGGACACCCCATGCACACTATGTGCATTCCTCATGTATACAAAATAGCAGAGCAGAAATGCTTTAAACATAAATTGAGAATATATGAGATAAGATTTTAATTGTGGTTTTAATAACAGCAAACTGCTGGAGCTACTTGCTTATTATTAGTCTTGAAAAGTGCATGAAAATACTATTTTAACCTTTCATCTGTAACATAGTCTTTGCTAATAAAATTATCCCAGAGTCACCCAAGCACGTAGCTGGTGTCAACTACTTAATATGCAGAATAATTTACATGCCACTTACATCTAGCAAAGAAATACCCAGCTAATTTCAGGCACTTTCATGCCGGTCCTTAAGCTGGTGCAGCCACACAACGAACACGGTCGAGCCCCGCGTCTCCTCTTCAAATCCTGCCCTTCTGCAAGAAAATCACCCCATCCACTGCTCCACTGACCCACCCCTTGGCACAGCCACCGTCACTGCCCACGGCACCGCGAGCGCTGAAACGAGCTCTGCCACACGCGCTGGGTCTTTGCAAGCGCAAAACACACCGAACCACGCTAATACTCCTACTTCATCTTTCCAAAGCAAAAGTCACCTTGACGAGACAAACATCCCTGTCGCCCTTTCAATCCACCTTCATGCCGCCTGCCACCAGAAACGAACTCACTGGTACTTTATCTGACTTGTTGTTGGCGAACAACCCATGGAAGTCAACAGAAAGACTCTTGATAACAGATTTATTTCCATCAGGTATGAAAATTCTCAATATTCCCAGTCAAATACAGGCAATGCCAGGAGGGATCTTTCCCAAAAGACCACACTTGCTCCTCCCACTCAGTGACATGCAAGCAATAATCGATTATAAAGAACATATAAACAGCGACAAAAAAAACATGGAAGGTGCTGGACATCCAAAAACTTATCTGCCAAAAGCGTCTTTCACTACCTGCAGAATAAGGCTCCTGCTTCTCGCTGTGAATGAACTCTTTTCGCTCGTATTTGGCTCTGATCCACTGTTCCCGCAGCAGTCTGGAAAAAAAAAAACAAAAACAAACAGAGAAAAGGAAACATGGTCTAAGATACACTACGGACCAGTCCAGAATCATTAATTCTTCAATAAAAATACAAGTGTGATTTAAGAGTCTTCCAAAAATTGCATTGTACAGTCTGGAGTCAACGGTTTCTTCTGTTTACTGTTGGACAACAATAAATCGTTTCCTTGTACATCCAATTTTATTGGAAACTTATTTAATAAAATTTACAGATTTAGCATAATAGCCCTGTCCCAGCCACGCAATCAGCCTCTGTACAAAATTCCCTCAGTATATGAATGATTTTAAACCTAATTTCCTCAGACTATGTTCTTCAGTAAATGGGATCAGTAAACAAAAAAACCCAACAAACTGCATTCAAAAGAAAAATCTTTGCCCTGAAGCTACCAATATGGAAGCAGACATTGCGCATGCCACGTGTGATCCACGCACACGATGGTCAGAGCTGCAGAGATACTGTTCCCTTGTCACGCGTGGACGGCTGCTGAAAGAAATTGTGATGTGCCGGGTTAAAATGATACTTGTGACAACGAGGGGAAGCCCAGCTCAAGGATGGGTGACACCTGTGACTCGGTGAACACGGAGCTCGCTGCAGGGTGTCGTACGTCTCCCAAATTAGGAACAACGGGAATTCAAGTGAGAGGTGACCTCTTCAAAATGAAAGGGACCTGGGACAGTCATATCCCCAGCCGTAGCCAACCTCTAGGAAGGAACTGGGATGTGAAAAGTGAAAAAGCCTCAAAAAGATGAGGAGAACGTGGGTGGGTGAGAACGCGAGGGCTGAGCCCTGTGGAACACAGGACCCAACCACCGGAGGGTGGCGAGGACCCACCTGGCCGAGCTCTTCCAAACACAGCCCGTACTGCGGAGTCTAAGAAAGAAATCCATGACGCACGGCAGGAAACACGCCTATTACAAAGTCCTTTACTTCTCATGTTGAAAACGATACCGATGATTTATACACCAAGACTTTAACTTCCAAAAAGCAAAAAAACCCCAAAGATTATAAATACTTTTTTGCTATTTTATTTTGGCACGAGTGCTGGAATTAATGAAGTAGTTTAGATCTAGAAAACGCTAGAAATCGCTTCAAACCATTTTTAACCGCACTTTTTTCTTAATTGCCCTGGAACCTTAAATAGCCCAAGCAGGCAGAAATCACACGCAGAAATAACAGCGTGTGTCACCCCAGCTCCACCGCAGACATTTCAAAGTGGCCTACACTGATGACAGTAAAAGATCCCCGCCGCGTTGGGCGTGCTCTGTAAAACCCATCACCTTTCAACACACCAACCTCTCCACCAAGGAAAAATGTTGATGTGCTGAATTATCCTTTCTTTTTTTTTTTTGCTGACTGTGCATATGTAATGCTATCTTTTCAGCAGAGACACTCTGGAAATGCTCAAAGACAAGCCTACTAACGTTGCTTATGAAAAATCACCTGCGGCTACAGCAAACACATTCATACGATCTGCAAGACACTATTCAACGAGAACTGTGGCTGTAATTGGTTTCCTGGCAGTAAAGGAGGAAATAATTACATATATTTTGTCCCACCCATTGTTTCACCTCCTTGGTTGGGCACCAGCCTTCCCCCACAGGGCTCATGGAGCACCATAGCTTCTCTATACCCAAAACTCAACTGCGAGCTTCTGCTGTGACACAAATAATGCACCAACTCTGCCTTTCCCCGTTTCGTTCTTGTTTTCATGACTGATCTTTAGCTGTTATGCACACATCTGCAAGTTTGACCATGAACTCTGAAGATGAGCATCCATCTCCCTCCTGCTGTCCCCCTGTGCTGCGCTCTGGTTTGGGTACAGCCCATCTTCAGCTCATCTCAGGAGGTTCACATGTGTTTTGTAGAGGTGTTCAAGGGGGCTCTTCTGGGTTGGGCAGGATGCACTTTCTGGATCTGTTACCCACAACACAGTAGCCTGCAAACGTAGAAGACCGATGACCCAACAGGAGGATTTAACCGCCTCTTTCTATATTTCCAAAGCTACCAAAATTTAATCATAAAACCAACACAAATACTTAAATTTATTACCCTTCTTGCAATTTTTCCAGCCCGGCTGCTGCAGACAGCTTGTTATCACCGTAGCCAAACTTGGACCTTTTCAACAAGACAATTGGGGATTTATGTAGAAGGAAGAAAATTCCCACCGCCGGGGGCTCCCTCCGGCTGACTGCAGTGGATGGAGCAGGAGCTGCAGCTGTTGAAGCCTCTGGAGCGAAGCCTTCCCGTACGGATGCTTAAATACAGTATAAATTAAGGTTCATGTGCAGCAGTGGGAAAACACTCTGGCTGTATAATGCAAATACTACAGCAGACACACTCCGCTGGTCTCACGCCTTCGGGAACGCCGCTCCGCAGTGACTTATTTCCCGTGATGCCGACGGCAGTGGTGGTTCCATCTCTCCACCGCTTTCGTGCAAGAGAGCGCGAAGCGGGCAGCCGGGAGGCACCCTTGCCCAAAGGAGCATCCTCAGAAGCTGCAAACTGCTCTCCATAACCTCTCTCAGCATTTGGGGCGGACCACGAGTCGCTCTGATGGCAGCTCCAGGGCAGACAGCACTCCAGCCACGCCACTTGCCCGGCTCACAGCAAGCGCTCTTCTGACAGCTCACATGCTCTTCCCCTTTCCTCATCATCACAAACCCAGGCTCTTTCAGCAATAATTTCCCAAAAACCCAGACCCGCCGAGAGCAGCCTACGGTTAAGAACAGCTCAGTGCAAGACGGGTAGCTGCAGCTTCTGCTCCAGTGGTTATTTATAGAAAGCAGAACAACTCCAGCAAAAGAAACCAAAACAAAAACCTAACGAGGACAGCGAGGAGTCCAGCATCTCCCTTCAACGCAGCAGAGAAGTTGAGCAGAAGTTGACCATGTGCTCACTCTTACGGACTGGAGGCAATAAAAAGCTGCTTTTGATTCTGGCATCAAACCTTAGTTTCACTGGCACAGCTGGGATGAATTTAAACAGGAGCAGGAATTGGTCCTGGTATCTATGGGATCTGAGAGCAACTGGAGGGCAGGGACCACCCTGAGGTCCCTCAAGCCATACAGTCTTCTCCACCCTTTCCAGTGGACTTCTGACCTGATCTCCATTTCATTTTAAGTATGCCTCCAGGGGTGGTTTAAACATCTGTTGCCGGGTTTTAGTTGAAATATATTTTTCCTGAGGTGATTGTAATAAAAATAAATAAAAATAAGAGCGGACATCACATGCCGAATACAGGACCCTCCGTCCAAACCCCACTTTGATTTCGACAGGAGTTCTGTGAACAGAAAGGACTGTAGCAACAGCCTCGTGGTATTTTACTGCATTTCTGGTGATGGGATAATGTAGCAAATACGCCATTTGTGTTTGTTAGAAAAATATAAGTGCATCATTCCTCAACTGAGGAGATGCACAGCTTTCGGGATCAACTCCAAAAGCCTTAACAGCCCACCTAAAGTCTGGCAGGCTGCTGGTTATAGGGAATGTGTCATTTTTTGGCAATTAGAACAGAAAGGTCTTTGTAATTATCAAGATAAAAACCTGGGAGCGAAGAAAAAAAAAAAAAGAAAAAAACAACCCCAAACCACACACCAAAAACCAAAACCCTATGGAAAAAAACACATTTCCAGCAGAATAAGAGAAAATTCATCCCCCGACTGGAACAGGATTGGGCTGCACTGGGGAGGCGGCAGGTCCAGAGGTCGACAAAGCCCCGCCAACACCAAGAGGGCCAAATTTCATTTTAGGTACTTGTTTGCCGGTCTGGCCACCCACGTGAAAACAAGCACTCTCTGTCGAAGGGCCAGAAGGAAGGGTTCAGAAGAAGCCAGAGGAGCAGTTTTATCTTGGTCCCACAAACTCAGAGCCTTCTGCCCACAGCCAAAAACCACCACGGGAAAAGCTGTTCAGGCAGTTTAATCTCAAACTGTGGCCGCGTGGCTTCATTGCGCTCTGTGGAGGAGTGCTGGCCAGCCCAATTTATAGTCTTCGATTTATTTTTACCCAAGCACCGCAGCTGGGCTGGCTTTCTGAGGACGCGCTACGGGGCACACACCACAGATGCTGCACGGCTGCTATGGCTTTGTGGAGACGTACGAGAGACAAGAAGCCCCAGCCAGAGGTGAAAGTGGCCCAAAAGACATCAAACACCGACCGCTACCACCCTCTGATTGCATCTTTGTGAGCCACCATCGAGTCCAACAGAGACAAAAGAAATGAATGCTATCCAGGAACGCCATTTCCAAACCCCAAATTTGTAGCTTCTGGAACTTGTCAGAGGTTTTTCCAGCAAAAACCAATCTGCTTTCCACAGGCAGCTCTGTGGATGCAGCTATGCCAAGTTTCTGTCAAACAACTGTTTTAATGAAATTTTAAGTCCGAAGTCCAAATTTTCGCTCAGACTGCGAGGAGAGCCACTGCAGCGTAGACTAAAAGCCTGTCTAGCTTCACACTCTGCCTCCGCATCTTTTTCTATCGGGTAAGTCCTCGCTGCGAGGACCTGCTTTTAAATGGCTTTGTGGAGGCATGAGAGCGCCGGGGGGCTTCTCCCAGGCGCTGCGGGCTTGCAGAGCCCCGGGAACCATGTGCCATCCACCCCCGCCAAGAGCAGCGGCCAGCAGCAAGCGTCTGGAGGGGAGCAAAGAGACAGGGGTTTCGGCTGTCACGGCATAGAAATCTTGCGTTACGGATTTGAAGAAGTTAAAGCTGAATTTGAGTATGCAAAAATCATAACATGCTCAATTAAAATGCTAACTGGTTCCTTTTCTGTTTGGCTGTTTTACATGCATGGTCCAGTTCACTACAACGCTATTTTTCGGAATGGTTAAACACAGATTAAAAACATGCAGGAAACAGCCTGTGTCGGTACTATCTTAACCTTGTAGCAATTTGCTTTGGAAATTAAAGGAATCGATACGAATTAGCAGGCTTACGAGCTAACAACAAAGAGAAAATGAGCAACAAGCAGAGAAGACCCCGCGGCCGACCGGGACTGAAGGAGCGGGCAGATCTCCAGCACTCGGCTGTCGGCGGAGCGATGCTCAGGCAGAGACTCCCGGAGGCCGAGTGCCCAGTTTGAGCCACCACAGGAGGCTCCACCACTCGGGAACCGATGAGCAGCCACTCCGAGAGGCCACCCTGCAGCTCCTCAAGCTTTACACCCAAGACACCAGGCGCTTTTGAAAGCCATGGATGTAAAATCTGAAGACCTTTATTAATAAGTAGGAGCCTGAGCAAAACACTCAATTTACATTAAGCTTTAGAGATGTTTATCTATAAAGTACCAGGAAAAGGAGGTGACAGACGAGGAGGAGATCAGGTGAGAATTCTGCATCCTTGGCCATCGTTATGCCCCGTGGGCGGGAGGGGAGGGGGCCCGACTGACCTTCAGACACTACATGGAGGTGGTGGGCTTGGTAGATCCTCTACCAAATGAGCCAAACTTTAAACAATAAAGTAAGGAAAAAAAAAAAATTCCAGGGATTTACAACGCAATTTTCTCTCTGCACATTTTAATCATACCATGATAAAATGAGCCACTTCTGCTAATAACTCTTCTTCTTCAGATGACTACATAGATGACTCCTCAAGATGTGAGCCTCACGGGGATACATCCTCTCTCTGACTGATGTCTCATCTCATTCCAGATAAGACAACCACCCAGTACAACCCACGCCATTTCATCCTGCCCCATTTTTCCTACCGAGGTACTCAAATGTGCTGGCAATCAGCATGCTGAAGCGTTCTGCATAAGGAGCAGATGCAGCTCCCACTTATCCAAGCACGGAGAGAGGAGCGGAGCAACGCACGGCAGCTCATACACAGTCCCACAGAACGATGCTCTGTGTTCCCGAACCAAGCAAAAAGGCAACAGAAAATGACGTTAAGTATTGGGCAGAGACATGGATGTACTTCCAGTGCTGCAAAAGCCCAGTAAGAGCTGGTCTCCATCTTCTTCTATCAGTTTCAGCCAAGCATATGGCTGAACAAAGCCTTTTCCCGTTGCTTTCCCTCAGAAGCGACGCTACCCATTGCTCACTGGTGACTCAAAACTCACTGCTTGCAGTGTATCTGCCCCAGAAAAGGCTGTTTTACAGCTCTCAGTCTGCTGCCACGGTGCACAAAGCTGGGCCGTGACCACTCGTGACCATCCAAAGAGGGTTTTTGTGGTTTAAGTTCCTCACCCAAGGCTCTTTGGGCCAACACTGCGGTGGTGTAGGAATATCCCAGGGTCTGGGATTCATTTCAGCCTCAGGGACTCCCCGGTGGTACAGATGTTGGCAGCTCTGCTCACTGCTCCTGATGCACGGGCCAAGTTGCTGGCAGACAGAAGATGAGAGGAGAGGACAGAAGGGGAATTTTTTTTTTTTGGTTGGGTGTTGGGTTTTTTTTGCCTATGCACAGCTGGTAGATTTTCCCAGGGCAATTCCAGAGCACCCCTCCAACTTCTCTAACCTTCGCCAAGCGCCTGACAGAGCCAGGAAGCCACCGTGGGGTTTCTGGAGGACGCAGAAGCCAAATGCAGCAGGGAAACACCACCTCTTCCCCAAGGAGTCAAACACAACATCACAGGCAAGAAGCAAACAGGACAAGCCGGGGCTGCAGCACTTCTTCCCTCTTGCTCGGAACGATGCAATTCTTTGAGCAACCAAAGGAGAGAGAGTTTCCAGAAGTAGCGTTATAAAATTATGAAGCTTCAAATGAACCAACAGCCTGTCCTTGTGACAGCTCCCACAAAGCCTGCCCAGCCGCTGCAGCCGGCCAGCACGGGTTGTCGTGATGAGAAGCACCAAAACCTCTTGCTGCTGCAGGAGGTGGGTCGGCACACAACGGCACGGTGCCAGCGCTGCATGGAGGCGCCATCGCTGGATGGAGGCGCCATCGCTGGATGGAGGCACCATCGCTGGATGGAGGCGCCATTCCTCATGGTGCTACCCAGGGCTGTGCGCTGGGAACAACTCCCGCTACTGCAGTGACCGGACTGCAGCGAGGCAGAGAGAAAGCTAAATATCTACCCCTCTAAACAGCAGCGCTCCCCTGCTCGTTTAGCGCGTATCTGCTGAAAGGCACAGAGAGCCTCTCACTAGAGGAAGAAAAAGACAACCGGGCACATCATCCTCGAAACATTCCCAACACACAACGTACCCACAGCTGCTCACTCCGCAGCAGTGTCGGGAGGAGATCTGTCACTGCAGGAGGTCACATCTATCCCCAACGCTCCCTGTGGACACCCAGCGGTGCCGGTCCGGAGAACACCTACATGAGCAGAGCTCCAGGTGCAGCTCAGAAATTGGGGCATCCAGCCTGAAAATGTCCCAGTGCAAAATAGGCGACCCTCAAACCATTTCTGCAATTGTAGCAACCGTGGAAGCTGCTGCCAGAAGCCATCTTAGATCAAACCTAAGAACTGGGAACACGGCATATATAGATGGGGTTTTTTTCATTTTCAGGCCAGGCAGCACCGCTCACACCTGGGCCTTCCCAGATTTAGCATCCGAGCATCATCGAATAGTGGGTAATGGATGTATTGCCGAGAGACTCCACAGGCACGACAGGTGCTCTCTTGTCTTTCTACAAAGAAATTTTTGCATGATGTGGGAAGGCAATAACTCTTCCTAATAGCTCTTACAAGAAGATTAAAAATATAGATAAAGTCACCACAGGGTCAAACATAGGTACTCGCACCACCTTCAGCATTATTTCAGGTCCGGGGAACACAGCAGAGCCTTCCTACTCCAAGGCTGGTATCTCACGCAGGGAGTGCTACGAACACTCCCAGTACTTCTGGTTTGGGCACCTCTGAACGATGCTTGAATACACCATCGGGCTGCTCAGAGCCTCGCACACTGTTTTCACACCACTGCCACATCGCCAGACCACACCTCTGTCTTCAACCAGTGACACCCAGTTAAAGCAGCAATGTTGGGAGGGATCTCGGGCACCAGCACTCGCCAGTTTGCTAATACTAAAGTACTGGCTCTGGAAATTGTGCCCTCTAGATCCTCTGTGAAGACTGGTTTTACAAAGATACAACCTCCCCGGGGTACTCTGCAGGACTGGACCCTAAAAACCAATTTCAGTTCACCTTCTTGCTCCCTGGATGGTACAGCACGTTCTGCTCGCTCAGCCCTCTCGGTCTACAAAGTCTACCCCAGCTTACTGGGAGGTTTTCTCTGCACCATGTGGAAGAAGATACCTTTTCAATATCTTCACAGAGGAGATTATGTGTGACTTCTGAAAAAAAAAAAAAAGAAAATCCACCACCCTGGCACTAAACGCCAGCATTTTTGCATCATAAGGAATCGGGCATCGCATAGAGCGGATAAGCATAGTACGTTTTGATGCAGAAAGGCAGAGGAAATCGATGGGTAGAAATTGGCATTTCTGTAGCTTTGGAAACTTGGAGGAGTCTGGGGAACAGACAAACTATTGACTTCCCTGCATCATCTCAACTGTACTTATTAAATAAGATCCCACACGTAGTATAAACTCTACCATATGCGTGCAGAAGAACAAAGACTTTCAGGGCCTTTTAGAAATGAAACCTCCTTTGTGGTTAAAAAAAAAAGTATCATGCTAAACCGAAAATATTACAGAGGCTGCAGCTGCACAAACAAATAAATGGTGTTTACCAGCAAAGGTATTTACTTACTGACAGTCAAGAAACGTTGGCTTGTAATAAAACGGTGGCATTTTAGATTCATATTTTGCTTTTGCTACATTGTTTCCATTCGAGGCCATAAACTGTAAAAAGAGAAAAAGCAGAAGGAATTAAAAAATGTTAATGGTGTTTTCCCTTGTCCTCTTTTGCTTCTACAGAGTAATAAAATTATTGGGATGGGGCCTCTGTTTCCCGTGCCGAGAGGCTTCCCCAGGACTGCGCGCAGAAGGGACGCGGTAAAGGCTGTGCCTGCAAATCAGGGCTCAGAAATCAATATTGATTGTTATTGCCAGGGCTCCCACAGCTTAGGACGACACTGGGGACAGGTCCGTCTCCCAGTCACACGTGCACGATCCCCACCGGTCCCCACGGGCGCAGAAGGCAGCACGCGGTGGCATTTCCCACTCACGGGCACGGGAACGAGATGGCTCCCAGGGAACCCAGCGCGGAAATCAGGCAAGCAGAGGGCAAAACCTGACACTAACTTTAAGTCTCCACGTGTTACGGCTCCGGCAAGGTAATACTCTCCGACAACGTGCCCTTTGCTTTGGATCACATCACTCGCTCCAAAAGGACAATTTTATTTTTGCAAAGCCATGCCCGCAACCTCAGAAAGGAGCGTGAAGTATTAAAAATAAACAAACAAACAAACAAACAAATAAATTCTATCTGCCCTGACAGCCCTCCTCTCCTTCAGATCTATAAAAATGGCTACTTGAGAGCACTGCAAACGAAACCACATATTTCCCTATTCATAAATTTTATTTGATGAAAATCCCTTTAAGTGTAAAAAGCCCATCCTCTTCCAGGCAGCCACGCTGAATCTGTTTTGCCTTGTATCAAATGCCAAGCATACAAACGTAACAAGCAGCTAAGCTTTTTCTCCAACCCCCCACCCCCCCCCTTTTTTTTTTTTCCATTATTTTCATTGTTTTGAGCGCCTCAAGTTTACATATTCAAGCCACTCTCAAAAAAAAAAATAAAATAATCAGGGAAGGGAAAAACCATGCGACACAAAGGCCTATTTTCCTCATCAAACACATGACTCCACGAGCTGTGGCTTTCAGAAAAACCCCAAATCTACAACATCCAAGATAAGGATCAATGACTGGGCGGGTTCTTCGTGCCTTTAAAGACAGCAAGAGTCAGAGCAGATAGGTTTCCCGGGTAGGCTTGCCTTTAGCAACATCACCCAAATCTGGGCAGGTGTGTGGCATAAACAGGCGGAATTTATACTGTGAGGGTTCGGTTCTTCAAGATGTGAGTTTAAGAGTCTTCAACGCTATGGGGAACAAAGCCAGAAACAGCTGAGCTGGGCAGGGGTGGCAGACTGGAGTCCAGCCTACCGTCTAGGCTAGAGGTAACGCGAGAAACAGAAGGCAACTCATTTAAAATGAGTAATTTCTACATACTCTATTTAATTGATATTTTTATAGGTGTGGGGGAAACCCTCACAACTTCTTCATGAAATGGCGATTCCATTTTTCCATCAGCATCGTGGACCTCATTCCCACGCTCAGGAATTATCTAGACATGCTTTCTGAAATCATGTTTGCTGCGGCATCTTTAGAGACGACTCCGGTTTACATCTTTGCTGGTAAAATGCCACGACCCAAACTCACTGGTACTTGTCCAGACGCACGTACCTCCACTTGAGCATCGTCCCAGTCATCCAGACGGACCGACTTCACTTTGCTGACCTGGGGGATATTGCGATGGATTCCTGAACAATTCAAGCAGATGAAGATCCCTAGGCTGTGCGATGCCCAGTCCGGGTCTGAAAACAGGAAAGAAAGAGAATTGCAGTCGGCTGCTCTGTCGGGCACAGGCAGGAGAGACGGGGCAGGACAGAGGAGTCCGAATTCCCTCATTTTAACGGCATCAAATAAACACACAAGCAAAACACAGAGATGTCTTCATTTATTTTGACAGTTATACCAATTGCACTAACAATTAACATATTTGCAATCTCAAGTGCAGCAGTTATTCACAAAAACCCAATATCACAGAATCATAGAATGGTTTGGGTTGGAAGGGACCCTGAAGATCATCCAGTGCCACCCCCTGCCCTGGGCAGGGACACCTCCCACCAGCCCAGACCGAGACCTCCAGAACTCACTCCACATTCCCTCAGAGAGAAGAGGTGAACGTCCATCTTTCATCAGCAAATCCCACCCAAGCCCTGGGTGGAACAGAAATCCCACAATTAAAACAAACAGCTCACGGGAAACCGTTATGCTGCTCCCTTGCGCTTTATTTTTGGTTTGTTGTTTTGGTTTGGTTTGGTTTGGTTTTTATACAATGGGAGTGCTCCAGAGAGCCTCTCCCCCCTCGGCCACGGCCGCCCAGCAGCTCGGCGCTCCGTGCCAGGCGGTTTCCAGCCTTTGCCTTAATGGAAAACCGCTGCCAGTGGCAGCTCTGTACTTTCTCTGAGCAAAACCACGCGCTGTTTACAGCCCCGAGCTGACGTCTCGCACAAAGCACTTTCAACACAACTCCTTCGCCGCCCAATTCCTCCTCGGGAGAGGCACTGCCCGAAGCGGGGTGGGGGGGGGGAGACAGAG